TGGACATTGGGGAGGGTATGTGCTATGGTGAGTGCTGTGAAGTGTGTAAACCTGGTGATTCACAGACCTGTACCCCTGGGGATAAAAAGATATTATATGTTTAAAAAAATAAAATTTAAAAAAAAATATATAGAAAAGTTAGTATAAATACAATGTATTGACAGTGGTAAACTTTACATAATGGTATTTATAGTTGATTTTAAGTGACTTAATACTTTTGGAAGTTCCAAATTTTCTATACAAGATGAATCTAATAACTATTTAAAATAATATCAAGTTTTAAACTTGGATTCCAAGGAGCTCAAATGTTTGCCTTTTCTTCCTTCCTAAATCCAAATAAATGACTAAAGAAAGCATATGGTGTCAAATCTATAGGAGCTCTGAAATGCGAGACAGAAAGGATTCTCCTCTTGATGAGAAGTGGATGTAATCAAGGTGACAAAGTCTACTGAATGCCAGATGCTCCATGTAGAAGATGAGAGCATTAGAGAAAACTAAGAGAGAGAATTACCTCCAAATCCCACAAAACTTGAAGTCATCCTCAACTCTTCTCCACTTACTTTCCATGGCCAATCCATCAGCAAATTCCAACCAAGCCTTTCACAAATATCCAAAACTGAGTACCTCCACCATCCTAACCAACATCACCTCTCACTTGTGGTATTCCATTAGACTCCTGATAGCCTCCTATTGATCTTGTTGCCTCCACCCTTGCCCCCATGCTGGCTTCTTTCCATGTGTCTCTCCATGTCAGCATTCCTTCTATTACTACCTGGTGTGTCTCGAAAGACCAATGACTTCAATGGGCTGGACCAATGGGAACCCTTATCCTATAGCCTCTACAGTCTGTTTCAATGGGCTCTCTGTCCTCTTACTTCTATAGATCACATCCATAGGCACCCTCTGACTTCCAGTTGAGTTTGGCCAAGGGGAGATAGAAGAAGGAAGTAGGAAGCATGAGATGTTGAGGTCAGGGGGTTCCAGTGGCCTGGCTGTGGCTCCTCAAAGGAGCCCTCTGGTTGGTTGCTCCAGGAAAAAAAAAAAAAAAAGCAAGGCATAGAGATGAAAACCTGGATGCTGAATGATTACGAGGGATATTAAAATATTTCAACCTCATTAGAAATCAGAGATCAACCAAGTGAAATGGTGGGAAGATCACCTTTCACATATATCAAAATGAAAATACTTAAGATTCAACCCCAGGTGCTGAGGGAAAATGAATAACCATATACACCATTGAAGGAAGGTGTGCTGGTTCAACCACTTCAGAGAGTAAAACTGAGGTTACAAGTCATGTGTGGTGGCCCCACCAGCGCTGAAGCTGCACAAGTGGCTGAATGGTGGTCCCACTCCCTGAGGTGCCCCAAGGAGAGCCCCAAACCTGCTTGGTCAGCATGCATCCTGTCACTGCTGCATGATGGTTAAAGTGAATTTTTAAGATGACCACAAGTAGATAGATGGTCAAAAACGATGCAATACAGTCATATAAGAGCTTAATATGCAGTAACAAAACCAATTTAGCTGATTTATATACACATTAAGTGACCCAAGAAACCATTTGGCATAAATAATAACAGATTGTACCAACATAATAAATCTCAAAACATGTTGTTGAGTGGAAAAGAAAATAAGAGAAAGTTCTAAAATTTCTGTACATTTTAAAAAACACACAAAACTCTGCATACATGGATTAATTTTTTTTAATGGGTAGGAACACTTCTCAACAACTTGAGTGTTTATCTTAGAAAGGAGGGGGTGGAATGCATATTTAATATTTTACTGGTTGAAATAAAATTTTAAATTAATGTAATAAAATGACAACAGTTATAAAATCAAGCACATGGGTATTTGATATATCATTCTTAGTATCTACTAGAATTTTTTAAATGTTACTTAATTGAAAACTAGTTCTAGTAACTTAAAATAATAGCTTACTCTCTAGATGTAGCCATCCTCTTGCATTTGGTGTTCTGCTGTGGAGCCTACTATCCATTAGTATATGAAGATGCATTTTATTTGCACATGTCTGGGCAATTTTAAGAAATCATTAATCTGCCATTATTTCTGCTTAGCCATGTGTCATGCCAGCTTTAGGCATATACCAAATAGGTGAAGAAAATACAAAAGACAGAGACACTTGTGTATGTACCTTCAACCATGAAAAAGAAAAACTGGAAGTAACTTCTATGAAAAGATCGCCAAGGCAAATCTGTCCAGCAAAATCCAGTTCAGCTTGCAGATCAGTGAGAAATAATGAACAGGTGTTGCTTTAAGCCACCAAGTGTCTATGTGCGTGTGTGTGTGTTGGCAGAGGAGAGAGATATCAGCAAAAACTTATAGAAACAGTGTGCTATGTCTAGAACCTGGCTGTCCCTGGTCCTGAATATGATCAGAATATGGTTTAAGATAAACCCTCAACTCTATGGTCAACTAATCTTTGACAAATCAGGAAAAAATATCCAATGGAAAAGAGACAGTTCCTTCAATAAGTGGTGCTGAGGAAATTGGGCAGCTGTATAGAGAAAAATGAAACTGGACCATTTTACACCATACACAAAGATAAACTCAAAATAGATGAAAGACTTCAATGTGAGGCAGGAATCCATCAAAATCCTAGAGGAGAACATGGGAAGTTACCTTTTCGACATCAGCCACAGTAACTTCCCTCAAGACCCATCTCCAAAGGCAAGGGAAACAAAAGCAAAAATGAACTTTTGGGACTTCATCAAGATAAAAACCTTCTGCACAGCAGAGGAAACAGTCAACAAAACTAAGAGGCAGCCCATGGAATGGGAGAAGATATTTGCAAATGACATTAGAAGTAAAGGGTTGATATTCAAGATCTATAAAGAACCCCTCAAACTCAACACTCTAAAAATGAATAACCCAGTCAAGAAGTGGGCAGAAGACATGAACAGACACTTCTCCAAAGAAGACATACAAATGGCTAACAGACACATGAAAAGATGTTCATCATCACTAGCCATCAGGGAGATTCAAATCAAAACCACAATTTAATACCACCTTACACCACTTAGAATGGCAAAAATTAACAAGACAGGAAACAACAAATGTTGAAAAGAATGTGGAGAAAAGGGAACCCTGTTGCACTGTTGGTGGGGATGCAAGCTGGTACGGCCACCCTGGAAAACAGTATGGAGGTTCCTCAAGATGTTAAGAATAGAGCCACCCTATGACCCAGCAATTGCACTACTGGATATTTACCCCAAAGATACAGATGTAGTGAAAATAAGGGGCACATGCACCCCAATGTTCATAGCAGCAATGTCCAAAATAGCCAAACTGTGGAAGGAGCCAAGATGCCCTTCAACAGATGAATGGATAAAGAAGATGTGGTCCACATACACAATGGAATATTATTCAGCCATCAGAAAAGATGAATACCCACCATTTGCATCGACATGGGTGGAACTGGTGGGGATTATGTTAAGTGAAGTAGGTCAAACAGAGAAAGAAAATTATCATATGGTTTTACTCATATGTGAAATGTAAGCAATAGCACAGAGGACCATAAGGGAAGGGGATGGAAATCCAAAGGGGGAGAAATCAGAGAGGGAGATGAACCATGAGAAATTACAGACCCTGAGAAACAATCTGGGGGTTTTAGAGGGGAGGAGGGTGGGGGAGGGGGGAATAGAATAATGGTATTGAGGAAGACACCTGCTTTGATTAGCACTAGGTGTTACACTTAACTAATGAATCACTGAACACTGCATCAAAGATTAATTATATACTATACAGTGGCTAACTGAACATAATAATTTTAAAAAGCTAAGTTTTCTTTACAACACATCAGTGCTATGGAATTTATAATAATAAAACTGTCTTTCCACAAAGAAGAAGAAGGAGGAGGAGGAGGAGAAGGAGAAGGAGAGGAAGAAGAAAACTAGAAAATCAAAGCAGAATTGGTCCTATCAGTTTTCTCTGTCTGGTACACAGACCTGACCAAGTCCATACCTTTTTCATTTGGGGATCCTGTTGTAACAAGCAGTTTTCATTTTCTCCTGAAATTTTCTTGCACATTGTTCGGGCAATTTTGACTTCAAGAAAGTAGTCCAAACTGTCTGTGACCTGTCAAAGAGTAATTTAAAAATTACATATCATAGGAGCACCTGGATAGCTCAGTCAGTGAAGTATCTCCCTTTGTCTCAGGTCATGATCCTTGGGTCCCGGGATCAAGCCCCATGTTGGGCTCCCTGCTCAGCTGGGAGTTTGCTTCTCCCTCTCCCTTTGTCCCTCTCCCTCCCTTGTGCCTTCAGGAAATAACAAGTCAGATTGGAAATGCAAGAAATTGGGTCTTCGCTTCCATCTTTCAACTCAGTAACTTTCAGACGTACTCCTAGAACATTTTTAATGACTGGATAACAAGTTTCTCAACCTCAGCACTATTGACATGTCAGTCTTTGTGGTAGGGGCTGCCCTGAGCACTGCGGGGTGCTTAGCAGCATCCCTGGTCTCTGCACACTAAGTGTCAGCAGCGACCTGCTTCAGTTGTGATAAGCAAAAAGCCCTCCAGGTATTGCCCCAAATCCCCTGCCTAGAAAAATCTATGCCCACTTGAGAGCTTCTGCTTTATGTTTGACTAATATTTCCAAGTTAAAATTACCATAAAACCAAACTGCTCTGAATCATCCTCAACAACCCACCAACTGACCACCAGCCCTAGCTTGACCCCCGACTGCCCAGAAAAGGAAGAGGATAGGGGTGCTGGCTGCTGAGGCAGCCCTTCACTGCCTTCACAGACAGGGCTCTGACTCTCCTGACCTTCCATGACCCCTTTCATCTGGCTGCAATATCCTACCACTTGCACTCCATCCGTATCACTCAGGCAGTAACACGTGCTCATTCATAACAGGCAGCCTGGGCTTAAATCTTGGCTCTTCTACGTACTAGCTGTGTGTCCCTGGACAGAATACTAAATGTGTCTGTGCCTATTTCCTCTTTAAAGTGGAAGAAAGTAGTTCCTGTGTAATGAGTTGCAAGATCTGAATGAGCATATGAAAAGCAACCAGGTCTGGCACAAAGTACTCTGTATATACAGTTGACCCTTGAACAATGTGGGACTTATAGGCACAATCAAAAATCCACGTGGAACTTTGGACTCCTCAAAAACTTAACTACTAATAGCCTACCATTGACCAGAAGGCTCACCAATAACATAAACAGTCAACTAACACATATTTTGTGTATCATATATATTATATACTGCATTCTTGAACTAAATCAAGCTAGAGAAAAGAAAAAATTATTAAGAAAATTATAAGGAAGAGAAAATACATTTATAGCACTGCATTGTATTTCTTGAAAGAAATTAGCATATAATCAGACCCACAGTGCTTTTCTTTACCATCATTCCCCTTGCACAGAATCTGCAACAGAGCCTTAGTCAACTACGTAAAAGAACAGGTAGCTACAAACTTTTTCTTTAAGGGCTGGAGAGTAAATACTTTAGGCTCAGAACACACAACAATGTCAGTGTTGCAGAAAAGTAGTCCTAGACTGCACTCAAACAATGCAAGTGGCAATGTTCTAATAAAACTTTATTTATAGACATGGAAATTTAAATTTTATGTAATTTTCATGTCACGAAATATTCCTTTTTTGTTTCTTATAACTATTCTTATAACTAGTTCATGGGGCATATGAAATTAGCAGCAAGCCAGACTTGGCTACAGGCTATAATTGTCCAACTCCTGATATAGATCTTTGTACTTTAAAGTTAAATCAACCAATAAGATATAGCTGTTCTCTTTATATAGAGCCTGTGTTTAAGTTTAATCTGAATTATAACCAAGAATTTTTCTTTTTGCTTTTGTTTTGTTTTGAGTTAATTTTGTTTGCGGGGGATGTTTCACTCTTCCTTACCTTTTTCTTCAGTGTGTTTTCCTCTGGTATGTAGATGGAAGGTCAAGGAATTTTAAATACCTCTGTTCTAGACTCTTTTTCAACCTGTTTCTACCTGATTCTTTTGAATTTTTACCTGCATTCAAGTGTTTACAGTGAGCTGAGAAATAAAATGTACATTCATGAAAAAACTAGCACACAGTACAAAATGACGTATAATTTTTGAGACATGAGAATTCAGTGTACTTTTGATTAAGTAAAGCAGAACCATCTATTTGTGGAACTGAAAAAGTGTTGATAAAGAGAAGTCCATGAAAGTGGAATAGTTCACTACCAATTAGTTCACTACATATAAATGAGCCCCCAAAGTAGTTGATATTTACTTTATTTTAAACTTAACTACCTTCTAGTTTAAACTAATTTAATTTATCTAATATTTAACTTTAACTCGGCTACCCATTGGTGACACACATCCTGGCCCCAGGTGTCCACTACTCAAGAAACACAAACAACATAGCCAGGACCACACACACAAAAAGGAGGGAGCCAAGGCCCATTGAGTGTGGAGGATGGTCAAGGGGCCAAATGTCCCAGCCTCACAGGGACATGAAGCTGCCAAATGAATCTTCTCTCCTGACCCCATTAAGAAAACAGGAACCTGAGCAGGTTCCTGATGACCTTCAGGGATGGACAGCAAAGGTTAGAGGGCAGAGAATGGAGAGGAGACAGGGCTAGTGAAGGAGGAAGAGGAGCACAAAGACTGTCCCTGTACTGCATGTCACTCCATTACAGAGTAACCCCCATTCCCCATTAGCCCCTTCCTTTTCATCTTCTTAAACTCCATCCAAACAGACTGGTTGAACCCCCGTTCCTTTTGTGCACCTACTGATTCCTCTCTGGGTTCCCCCCCAAACCACATCTTTCTTGGGATACAACATTGGAACAATGCTCTCTTCTATGTTATAGTCCATATTCCAGTTCCCCCAACCACATCGTTTATTGTTTTTTTTTTATTTTTTTAATCCCAGAGATAATACAAGACCACATATTGCATTTAGTTGTCATGTTTCTTATACCTCCTTTAATCTAGAAGTTTCCCTGCTTTTTTCCCTGTCTTTCATGACACTGATATTTTTAAGAGGTATTACAGAATGCCCCATAATACGGATTTGTCTCATTGTTCTTCATGATAACCTGTGGAGGGTGGATTTTCGACAACAGATACCATGCACAGATGATGCTGTGTCCTTTCTATGACCTCACATCAGGGGCACATGATGTCAGTCTGTCCCAGTGTTGGTGACAAGCATTTTGGTAAACAAGGCACTTGCCAAATTTCCTGATTGTTTTTACAATCTTTTCCCTGGTGTAATTAATTAATTAAAGAATCCCTGCACCAATTTGTCCCCCACCACTCTCCCACCAAGTGGTTTTAGGACTCATTGATGATGTTTGCCTGAAGTAGTTATCTCCATGATGATTTCCTACTTAACACGGTTTTTTACATATACAAGTAGGTGTTTTTCTATAAACAAGAGCTTTCCCTTCCTTTTTTTTTTTTTTAATAAAAGCTGTACTTGCACTTCCTTTGCTTTTTCACTGTGTTATAATCCATAACTATAATGACTCATTTTTATGATAACAGCCCAAATTGTCCCAGACTTGGCCCCTTCAACTGTCCTTCTTGGACTCTCACCTATGCTTTCCGATATGATTGTAATCAATTTTAAGCTATTTTAATGGCTACTTTATGTTTTGTCCCAGAATGATAAAGGATAAAGTGTAACTAACTTTCCTCCCAAAACCCCTAAAATAAAATTAATATATATTTGACTAAAGGTGTCTCTCAGCTGTTTTCCCCTCCCTGGGGTCTGTCCCCTCCATGGATAATGGGCCCCTCCATGACTGCATCTTGGAGAGAAAGAGCAAAGAGAACATGCTCACCAACCTGCTCCTGGGATTTCAGGACCTTCACCACCTTGAAGGTGTACTTGTCTTTGCTGGCCTTGTTATACTCTTTCATGGCATGCCACAGTGCCTGCCGCACATAGACGTAAGTTTCCGGGATGTCTTGGAAATTCCTCACTACCTTCGATCTGCCCCAGGTGTGGACACCTCTGGACACAAAGGTCACAGTGGCCACCAGGAGCAGCAGGCTCAGGCAGAGTCTGGCCATGGCACCTCAGCCAAGCGGGTATAAGCCTTGTTCCTTCTGTCCTTCCAGGACTGGGGCAGGACATGGGCTGGGCTGGCCCTGCTGCTTCTGCACCCCCCAGTCTTCCTGGCACTGCTAGGGGTAAAAAAGAGAGAACTTCTGTTAGCTTTGTGTTCTATGGTCTTCTCTCTCTCTCTTCCCCAAAGAGAAGTGGAGTGAGATATCGGCAGTCACAATTCATCATATGTTCCCATCTTGGCTGTTCCCTTCTGGAAGGAATGCACTCACACTCCTTTCCTTCCCCACCAAGTGACCCCTGCCTCCTTGCCTGTGAGGTCCCCACACATCCAGTGCAGGTGCCTGTCTGTATCAGGTCTCAGTGCACAGAAAGGCACAAGGACAGAAGCACTGCCCCAGGGACAACATGGGCCTCAAAACTCATCTTGTCTCCTCTTCAGGAGCATGGATGAAAATCCTCAGGGGAGCCTTTGGCTTCAAAACTGCCCCCCTGCATCTCCCCCATTTCCAGTCAGGCAATCACACTGCCATCTGTTTGTGGAGCATTATTGAGTCTTGCCAGGCCCTATAATAAGGATATCACATGTTTCTCTTCTTTAATAATCTCCCTTGGGGCCACATAATAAGTAACCCCTTTTACACAGGAGGGAAAATAGGTCTCACAAAGAGGTCAAGTAAATGCCTCAGGCTACCTGTCAGAATTTTTACCTCATTGCCTGAAACACACCTTCAGACCTATCGCAATATAACTGATGAGTACCTGTAGATCACAGCTTTAATGTACATTTGCTGTTGGGGAGATTCCATTCTCCATAGAAAGTGAATCAGTATGTAGTTCATGAGACAGAGGCACAACAGTAACTGTGTTAAGTACATATAATGCAAAAGCAAATAGCCTGAGAGATATAGGGGCCAAAGGCAGGCCACCTCAAAAGGAGCCGCTTTGCCATGAAGATTATTTTGGTTTAAAAAACAATCAAAACCCAGCAGATTCAGGAAAAGTTCTTTAGCTTTTCTCCTCCTCCAGCCGCCTACAAAGAATTTAGGTAGAGGACCTGCTCCAGGAAAAGAACTATCATCACAGACAACTACATTATGCTATCAGTAAAGTATGGTAGGGAGGACCTACCTACAAACAGCAAGTGCTGTTGGATCAAAGTCCTCTCTGTACCCCATTGTTTCCATGGGGCCAAAAAGCATTTGTTTACCAAACATCAATTCTTTTTTTTTTTCCTAATATTTTATTTATTTATTTGACAGAGAGAGAGAGAGATCACAAGTAAGCTGAGAAGCAGGCAGAAAGAAAGGTAGAAGCAGGTCCCCTGCTGAGCAGAGAGCCAGATGCGGGACTGAATCCCAGGACCCTGAGACCCTGACCCGAGCTGAAGGCAGAGATTTAACCCACTGAGTCACCCAGGCGCCCTACAAACATTAATTATTTTTCTTTCTTCTTGAGGTTTACATTCCTCCCCTTTGAAGTCCCAGACCCCACAGTCCTTTTCCTTAGTTCAGCCTGACATGTATACCTCAGTTTGCCTGACTATCTTTGGAATTTCCATGTTTGTGTGGATTCCCCATATGTATGAAATTAAATTTGATTTTCTCCTGTTAATCTGTTGTGTATTAATTTGATTCTGTGTATCAATTCTGAGTCTAGCTAGAAGGACCTTGAAGGGGGCACAAAATTTTTCTTCCCCCAAAGAGAAAAAGGTAGCATCGAAAAGTTGTGTTCATTGCAGACATGTGGTAAGTATAGCTTGCCTAAGTTGAATAAGGAATGTGACAGCAGAGCCGAGAGACACCTGATATCCATGAGATACTAACTACACATGAGATACTCAGAAAACAGAATATTCATAAGGTCTTATGTTTGCCACCCAACAATAATGCCATCCTGGCCCCATGTGTCCTCACCCCAGGAACCACCAACCCAATCCTCAACATGTCCAGCTGTGTTAAGCAGACTTCCCTGTGTGTCTCCTCAGGGCCAGTACGTGTTTCTGATCTGCTGCACAGGCTTTGCTCAAACCCCCACTGTGGGCCCTGTAACCCCATCAGCATGGAGACAGAGGCAGCAGAGAGCATGACAAGCCCAGGGTCTGGGCAACATGTTCTTTTTGTCTCCCCAGATTGCCCCCATACCTGAAGTATGTTAACTTGCTTCCTTTCCCTTTCTAGCCTCTCACCTGATGGTTTGATGGTTTGCACCTATTTGATACACATAGGATTTAGTCAACCAGCTAACTTTGGCCTGTGAGACTTTCTGCTCCATGATGTCTGAATGTGTTGCCCAAGGCACCCTTGGAGGCCACCCTGGCATTATAGTCCCTCCCCACGCAGTACAGCTACACCCCAAACGCACCTTAGAACCAAGCTCTTCACAACACTCCTGCTTGCTGAGACGTGGCCTGGTTGTCCTCACCCAAAGAAGATATCTTTCTCCTTCCTGAGGACTTGAGCTTTGACCAGCTCCACTCATGGACCACTCTCTGCCCAGCACGGTCAGTTCATATCCCTGCACCTGGTCAGGGTGTTAGTCAGGCCTGAGTCAGGGGTGTTTCTGACCTCTGGCTATACTCTCTGGCCAGGTGATCACATCTGTGGCCCCTTTGTGAGGTAAGCCCGGGCTGGGCTGCTGATGCTGCTCAAGTGTGGGCACATCTGACAGGTCCCTCAGCTCTCAGAGCCTCACAGGCTCAGCAAGACCAGCAGCTTCTGCCCCTAATGTAGAAATCTCGTGTGTTTCACACCTCCTGGCTTTTTAAATTCCTGGGCTTAGGACTGAACCCCTAGGAAATGAAAGTACCTGGTTTCTGTCGGCATTCTGTTATGTGACTCTGTAGTCCTAGAAGCAGGATGAGGCACCAAACTGCCAGGCTCAGGGAATCTAGGACTGAAAAGCACTTGGGGAGGTGGGACCTACGGCTGGCAGGGATTGCCCACAGAAACACCAAGCAGAAGGCATCATTTGACAGTGGCAGTCCTGGCATAACATACCTCTGTGGGATGAATGAATGAGTAGATCCCCACAGACCCACTAGCCATATGCCCCCCCCATTGTTAACCTTGTCCCATATAAGTATTCACAATTCTGCCTCCCTCCGCCTGTGAGGGTTCCCTCTCTTGGTGGTGGTTCTCAGGCCCCAAGCCAAGCTCCACTAAGGAGCAGGCTCCACCCCTCTCTGCAGAGAACCTGGCTGTGACAGGGAGCTCCCAGGAACTCAGAAACCTGGGGATTAATATTTGTCTTTCCAGAGTAAATTATAGATCAACATAAAGAGGATCATCCCTGAGATCCATAAGGTAAAACTCCAAACAAGAAGACAAACTCTTGGGCCTGTGAAACCTGAGAGTTGCCTGGCTGAAGGTTCAGATGTTTAAGACAAAATTGTGTGCTCAGGCTGAGGAACACTTTCTAAACAGGTGTAAAACACAGACACCAAAATGGAAAAGAATAACTAATTTGGCTACACATTTTGTTGCACACACACATGTGCACATCCAGGCAAAGTCAAGAATTGAATGGAAACACAGAATAATTTATTTGGAAGATATTTGGTGTTTGGTAGAGGACTCAATTTTCTGTTGTGGAAAAAGTTCTTTAAAATCCAAAAAAGAGGGCACCCGGGTGGCTCAGTGGGTTAGGCCTCTGCCTTCGGCTCAGGTCATGCTCTCAGGGTCCTGGGATCGAGTCCTGCATCGGGCTCTCTGCTCAGCAAGGAGCCTGCTTCCTCCTCTCTCTCTGCCTGCTTCTCTGCCTGCTTGTGATCTCTCTCTGTGTGTCAAATAAATAAAGTCTTTAAAAAAATAAAATAAAATCCAAAAGAGAGGGAGACAAACCATGAGAGACTCTGGACTCCAGGAAACAAACTGAGGGTTACAGAAAAGGGGTGGGATGGGATAACAGGGTGATGGGTATGAAGGAGGGCACATGTTGTGATGAGCACTGGGTGTTATATGTAACTAATGAATCATCGAACACTACATCAAAAATCAATGATGTCCTATACACTGGCTAACTGAACATAGTAATAAAAAAAATTTCAAAAGAAAAAGACAATTTTCTCCATTGTCTTGGCTCAAAGTGAGTCAGGAATTTGAGCAGACAACACATCCAAAATGAATCCATTCCCCCTCTTAGCCACACATCAGTTGTTGGAAAACAACAGGCCTATGGTGAGAGCTCTCTCTCGCCGCCCTTGTTGATCCATGTTCTACCTGGTCCTTGTGTCCAGAGGACGTTGCACAGTGTAAAGCAGAGAGATACTCACACCCTTCAATGTGAATTCTATAGGTCTGGACAGGAGCCCACTTTTGACACCACATCTTCTAAAGAAGATGGTCCTGGGAAATAAAAGGGAGTGGGGGAGCTGCTGAATGCTGTGATGGGTGTGGACCCACAGCTCTGAAGGTGAAGGGCTCCATGAAGCCAGAGTCCTAGGGCCTCCACTCCTCCATCCAAAAACTTCTCCTCCCAACCAATCACACTCTATCTACTTTGGGGTCCCAGAAACAACAGATAACAATTGCTCCAGAAGCAATTACCACCCCCAAAAGTCTTTCTTTTCACTCATGACTGCAGGCATCAGGATTTCAAGAAGGGCCCAATAGGGTGCTTATCACCCAGGGTGTCCCATAAATTCAGAGAGCAGCTAGGACGTACCTGGGCTTGTGGCTCATGTGTAGAGGGCCTTTTAAAATAGCTGTATTAAAATCTAATTCCCATATCATTCCCATATCACATATGCATCCACATAAGTATACAATTCAGTGGCTTGTAGTTAGTACACAATTAACACTTCTACACCCAAACCCAATTTAGAATGTTTTCATTACTCCAAAAAGAAACCCAACCTTCCCACCCCCTTCAGCTCTAGGCAACCACTAATCTATTTTCTTCCTCTACAGATTTACCTAGTCTGGACGTTTGCATACATGACCTTTTGGTGTCTGGCTTCTTTCACTTAACATGTTTTCAAGAGTCATTCATGTTATAGCACATCTTGCTACTTCATTTCTTTTTATTACCAAATAATATCCCATTGTATGTGTATACCACATTTCATTTTACTATTTCACCCATTTGTGCACATTTGGGTTGTTTCCACAGTTAAAAGCAAAACCAC